CGACCTCACTGACTGGACGCATATAGACATGTTCGCAATCGTGATCCGGCAAGGAAATGCACTAGGGGTACTGGCAGGCCCTCCATGTGAAACATGGTGTGGTGCCAGATTCCGCGGCCTGGATGGGAAGTGCAGTGGCCACCGCCAGTGCGTTCATTAGAGTTTCCTTGGGGCCTACTTGGAATGGAACCGAGACGTCGGCAGCAGGTGGGACTGGGGAACACATTAATGCGTGCAGCGTTGTATCTGGCAGCTGTATGTGCAGTATCGTACGTGCCGGTGCTGATGAGAGCCAGCACGTAACTGGCTATCCAAGGCGGCATCATGCTGGTCACTCCCAGAGACACGACAGCTCATGGAGGAAGCAATGCCACGCCAGTTACATTTGATATGTGTGTGCGGTAGGACACTTTTTTTTATATAAAAAAAAACGACCGCACTCCTCCATATATCATGGGCAGCTATCAAATCGAGCGTTGGCCAGGGAGAAGATCATGGGCACTGCCAGCACGACCACATACATCATATTGCCACGGGGCGACACCTCAATGGCACATACAGAAAGCAAAGCTCAAGGAGTACCCAGTGGCGTTATCAAGACATCTGGCAGATGCGGTTAGGAGCTCGTGGGCCAGCGGGCCACGCGGAGGCTGCACATAATTTGAAAACATGGATGCAGAGCTCGCCCAGTTATACGCTCCACTTGATGAGTATCAAGAGCACGAACGCGCACATGGGCATGACTGCTGGAGATCGTGGAGTCAAAAGTCAGTGATTGACGGTCGAGAGCATCGACCATTTCGACATGGCGAAGCTGGACGACCAGAGCGGCGCCTGGCCTCGTAGGGCTGCTGTCGCCCTGGGTGGGAGCGGCGCCCCCCCCCCCCCAGGCCCCAATGCCAATGCCCACCCGGGGCGCTTGGTGGCACGCCCGAGGGAGCGGCGGGGGCTTCCGGGCCACGACGCCCTCGGGCGGGCCGTCGCGTCGTCCTCCCCCTCCTTCGCCCTCTGGACTTAGGATTGAGCCAGGCGGGCGGTGGTGGACCTCTTCCCTTCGCCCGTCGTGCGCGGGCGCCGTCGGCCGCGGCCGCGGGCGCGCGCGCGCGGTAGGCTCGGCCCGACGCGCGTCCCGCAGCAGTGGTGCCAGGAGGAGGAGGAGGAGGAGGAGGAGGAGGAGGAGGAGGAGGAGGAGGAGGAGGAGGAGGAGGAGGAGGAGGAGGAGGGGGAGGAGGGGGAGGAGGGGGAGGAGGAGGAGGACGAGGAGGAGGAGGAGGAGGAGGACGAGTAGAAAGACCAGAAGCCTCTTGGGTGCCTTTCGGGGTCTTTTCGGATTTGTTCCGAGAGTTCCTTGGGAATCCTCTTGGAGTGTTTTGGAGGTCTCTTGGCAGTCCCAGGGGTCCCTTGGTTCCCTCTGGGGAGCCTCTTGGGGCCTCTTGAGGGTCTCTTGGGGGCCTCTTGGGGGCATCGTGGGGGCCTCTTGGGGGCTCCTTGGGGCCTCCTGGGCGCCTTTCGGGGCCGTCCTGGGGCACCCTTGGGGGCCATGTTGGGGCCATCCTGGCGGAGATCCATTAAAGGAGGGGCCGTAGTGCATTGGCGCCCCCCCCCCCCAGGAGGCCAACATGGGGCCAAAACCTTCGTGACATCAGTGATTGTGGTTGAGTGTCTTTGGGGGGCCTCTCGAGGCCTCTTGGGGGCTGTTTTGGTGTCTCTTGGGGCTCCTTGGGGTTTCTTTCGGGCCTCTGGGGGCTTCCTGGGGGCTTCTGGGGGTCTCTTAGCTTGACGTCTCCTGGAGGCCTCTCGGGGCGTAAGGCTTGGATGGTCGGTTTGCGAGTCCCCCTCTTGGGCTCCTCTTGAGGCTGTTTGGGGGCCCTCGTGGTCTGTTGTGGGCCGTCGCGAGGCCCTCCTGGGCCGTCTTGGGGCCCTCTCGGGGGCACCTTTGGCCGTCTTGGAGCGTGAGAAGCGAAAAGGCAAGAACCTCGAAAACCTTGAACACCAATGTGGGAATCACTGGTTTTGACATCCTGGGGTCCTCTTGAGATAAGGCTCTCGGGGCTCTTGGGGCGTCTCGAGGGCTTCGTGGGCCGTCTTGGATCCATCTTCGGCGCGGGCCTGTACAGCGTCAGTTACATGAGCCCCCCACCCCCCCCGCCACGGTCAAAGCCCAATGCAAAGCCATCGCCCCCCCGCACCACGCGCGTGACACAGGTTGTGCTTCAAATTGCGTTATGCAGTGTTCGTGGGCACGGATGGCGGGCACGCGCAAGGCGCGCAACACGTCAAGGCGCCGCCCCCGCCGCCCTTCTCAAAGACCATGCAGAGTGATCGCGGGGCGCCCACGCATGGTCCAGATTTTGCCGCAGTGTGGGCGTTGCGCTGTGTTTTGGCAGGGGTGGAGGGCGGGCGCAGCGCCAAGATGGGGCCCCCCCCGGGCGTCGGTGCCCACACCCAGGGCGGAGCGATCACGCGGCGCCCGCGCACTGTTTTGACTCTGCCGCGACCCGCACTCCCCATAGCCTTTCACAGGGCTGGCGGGGATGGGGTCGACAGGGGGTTGGCATTGCCCGGATTTGTCTCTGGTCAATAAGGGGCAGTGATTCACCCGTCCCCGAAGGGGAAGAAAGGGGGCTGGAAGAGAAAGCTCCCTAAATCACCCACGCCCTAGAGGGATGGTGAGACTTGACATGCTCCAGCGTTTCCCGCTCTTATATTCATGATGGTGCCGTCACCTTGTCGGAGGAAAAACCACGACGCACGTGTGTGTGTGTGTGTGTTTCTGTGTGTTTCTGTGTGTTTCTGTGTGTTGCTGTGTGCGTGTGCGTGTTCGCGTGCGTCCGACCTGGATGCCGACTGGTGATCATTGGCCCGTGGTGGGGGGAAAGTGTGTTTGTGTTTGTGTGTGTGTTTGTGTTTTGTGTGTTGTGTTTGTGTGTTGTGTGTGTGTGAGTTTGGCGGGTGCGCGTGGTGGCGATACTTTGGACGACCTCGCTGCCTCCACATACCGGGGCAGTGCTTACCTCGGTATCAACTTTCACCCTGAGTTCGTTGGCTTCCCCATCAGTTTCGCCCCGCTTTCATTGCTCGCCTTTGCTCGCCCCTGGCCTGGGAGGTCACGGCATTGGCTTGACCACGATCAACATGCGTGGCGGTTGTAGTATTGTTTGGCGCATTTTGCCGCTCGTTGGCTGGCCGATGCTTCGCCGCCGCAGGGGAGGGGCAAGCACACGTGTGGTGGCGCGGGGGGCCGTTCACGAAGGCCGCAGATCAGTCCCAAAAAGTTCCCAGTGACTTCCACGCGTGTTCCCTGCAGGTTGGTGTGGTGTTTTGTGGAGCCCCACGGGTCTCCGCGGGGGCATCCTGGACACGGAACACCCAGGAGTTTCAGGGACCTCTTCACAGGGGCCGCTGGGAACAGCCAGCTACCATGCATGAGGCTTCAGGGGGCTTCACGGGCAAGCAAGGTCCAGGGAGCTCCCGAGGGAGCACGAGCACCCAGCGGGCTCCGAGGGCCTCCCAGCGGTCTCCAGCAGCTTCTTGGGATAGGAGACCGGCTGGGGGCTTCAAAGGGGGCCCAGCAGCCTCCAGGGAAATTCCATTAGTCTGTGCCATCAGAAGACAAACGTACGAGCAGTGTCAGCGCCGCAAATGCCATTACTTCAGCGAGCAATTCTTTGGTCGACACATGCCAGTGGAAGATGCTCTCCCAACTAGAAAGACAACAATCTGGACTACACCATGCTCAGAGCCCGTCAGCCAGCGACAGCCTGCTTTACCCTTGGGCTTCTTGAGTTGGACTACCATTGCCGATTGGTATATGTTGCATGTGCCAACGTTCCCGTTTACGTGGCCAGGTAATTACTCTTGCCGACTCGATTTGCAGTTCTTCATGATTCGCGTTGAGCCCATCCCATGGAAGGGCCGTTACGTTGCACATGAGAAATGCATACGGGGCCAGAAGCAACGCAGTTCGCATCTTCCGCCCAGTCAAACCAGCGCATGGCATTATTTCCCAGCGACGGTTGCGGCGATACATTGAACGCTGTGCGGAGACCGCACTTACTGGAGGCCGTGCGCACCGCAGCTAGAGCTAGGCAAGGCCAGTTGATGGTCGGAATCGCTCTCAATATTGCACGCTCGGCGGGGGCCATTTCCGCGGACGTTGAGAGCACCTGCATTTACGTGATGCGCCGACGTATCATCGGCATTGTCTCCCATGACGCGAAAATTGTCAGTTTGAGTCCATCCAGTGGTCAAGCAACAATGCGTTTACTTGAGCCTGGAACAGTCAACTGTAACTGTCATCACGGATATGTGCTAACACGGCAATGCATCGGCGATGCGGCGCGATTTTCCGACCCCGTCGATTCGAGGTCAGTTTTGGTCCCAGTCCATTATTTTGACAGCCGTCTGTACGAGTTGCGGAGGGATTGCCCGTGGGAGTTGGTGTATGTTTGACCCCTGCTCCGAGCCGCGCGGCGACGGGCGGCGACCCCAACGGCGGGACAGCGAAGGAGCCCAGAGCAGGAGGAGGGAACTTTCGTGCGAGCAGGCAGGGGAGATTCGGCGGCGAGCGAGGGGGGAAGCGAGGAGGAGAAGGCCTTCTCAGAAGACGGCGGGGCTTCTCCGAAGCGCTCGCGGCCTGCTGAGAGGTTCTCTGTGTCTTCGGGGAAGGCTTCGAAGACATCTCAGACTTCCGGGGGACTTCCGAGCGTTCTAAGAAGGCCCGCCCCTTCTCATTTCCACCCTGGGCTGACCGCCGAGAAATCATTGCGTGACATCCGGCCCCGAACCAAACCTCTTGGTCGGTTTTGGAGGTCGCCACGGCGATCGTGGCAACCACAAGTCGGGGCAAAAGTGGCATGCCCCTTCCTAGCCCCCCCCAGCCCGCTCTGTGATGTAGACATGGATCATCAACAGAGTAGCAACAGAGAGTTGTTAATACACGCCCAACATGTGCAATCATGTTTTTTTGTTAGGGGCCGATGATCACGCAACCAAGAGAGGACCCCGACCAGCAGGGGACACCACCGCGTGGTGACCTCGGCGGCGACCTCGTCAACCCTCGGCGAAAAGGCCGCGACCCCGATGTCGGGCAGCCCTACAGACAGCCGCGAGGCCCGCCAGAGGAGGGAAAGGAGCGAGGTTGAGGAGGAGGAGGAGGAGGGGTTGAATCGGAAAACAAACCATGCATCAACAGGAGGTCCAAGAAGTCCACGCGGATTTCTTGAATCGGCGTTGGGCCCTTCTTGGCGGCGCCTTCGGCGCTGCCCCTGTCGCGCTCCGTGCGCCAGGGAGGGGGTTCCGACGCCGATTCCCGAACTCCGCGCGGACCTCCGAGAACTTCAGTTTACGCAGTTGCTGATTCCTCTGCTGGAGGAGCCTGTTGGAGGAGCAGAGCAAAACACACATGCAGCTTCGTCTCATGCATTGCTGGCTACGCTCTCACAGATCCCCGAGCAGCCCGCACGCGATGTTGTTCCCATCTCGCCCTGCGTCGCCTTTCCGAAGACGTCCAAGGAATCAGCGTTGAAGGTTGATGGTGGTTCCCTGGTGGTTTTGTGCTTCCCGGGCCCAGCGGATGAGTGCACGAGTTCGCCAAAGCGCGGAGGTGTCGTTCGTGTGACGTTCGTGGCAAGCCCAGCGTCCGTTTGCTAGGCTTGGGGGTGGATATCATGGCTGGGGCCACGACATCTCCACAGAGTTTGGCACCCTTCTTATTTCAACACGTCGTCTTGCCCCCCTCTCGGTGCCGCGCACATTCCTCGGACCATGATTTGCGAGCCTCCTCTTGGACGCCCCCGACATATGCTGCAGTACCCGAGCTCGGAAGAGTACGACTTTGCTGCCGCGAGCTCGGAAGAGAAGCACCAGGTCAACGGCCTCAGCACGCCCGCCAGGCGTCTCAATTCTGTTCCTCGAGCGAACATCGGGGGCAACGTTCGGTGGGGTAAGGACCAGGGGACGCATCGACCTCCAAACGCCCATGCATCGCCGATGGGGACCCGATGGCCAAGTTTCGCTATCGGCGGCCTGTCGCCGGTCTATTGAAGACGCCTACGGTGAATCACCGCCGCCCCCTGCCTTTGTGGAAGCGCCTATGTGGCCGAAAGTTGAGGCCAGACCTGCCAAGCTATCGGACCATGTGCTCCCCGAATTGGTTTGGAAAGCCTTCGGGGAACACGTGGGCATCTTGAAGGTCATCTTGGCCGCCTGTAGGCCATTTTGACCCTTTCGGGCCTTCTTAGAGGACGTCTTGGAGGGCTCGTGAACCGTCTTGGAGGCCATCTTGAGCGTCTTGGAGGCCTCTTTGGCCGTCTTGGGGGCCTCTTGGGGCCGTCTTGGGCGCCTCTTGGGCCGTTCTGGGGCTACCTTGGAGGCCTCTTGGGCGATCCTTGGGCGATCTTTGGGGGCTCTTGGGCCGTATCGGGCCGTCGGAAGGCCGAAACGAAGCAAACGTCAACATCTTTCAAACACCTACAGCAAATCAGTCTTTCTGGCCTTTTCTGGCCTTCTGGAGGCCCTCTTGGAGGCCTCTTGAGCCGTCTTGGGCCAGCTGCGAGCCACCTTCAGCCATCTTGGTGGGCTCCTGGCCCGTCTGACGCCGTCGGAAGCCGTTTGGGGGGCTTTCTGGGCCGATTTGGGGCAGGCCCTCTTGGGGTGCTCCAGGGCCGTCTTAGAGGCCATCTTGGGTGTCTTCGAGGTCTCTTGGGCCGTCTTGGCGCCCTCTTGGGGCCGTCTTGCGGGCCTCTTGGGCCGTAATGGGGCCATCTTGGAGGCCTCTTGGGCGATCTTAGGGCGACCTTGGGGGCCTCTTGGGCCGTCGGAAAGCCGAAAAGGCGCAAATACCAAAATCCTTCATAAAACCTATGGAACATCAATGATGTTGGCCTCTTCGGGCCTTCCTGGAGGACCTATTGGAGGCCTCTTGGGCCGTCTTGGAGGCCTCTTGGGAGCCTCCTGGGCAGTTTTGGGCCATCTTGAGGCCATCTTATGCCGTCTTGGGTGCATCTTGGGCCGTCTTGGAGACATCTTGGGACCATCTTAGCCGTCTTGGAGGCCATCTTGTCCGTCTTGGAGCCATCTTGGGCCATCTTGGAGCCGTCTGGAACGGAAAAACCCGTTGCAATCACCTCTGGGCAATCTTTTGGCATCCTTCTGGGTGGCCGGCGGGACGCGCCAGAGCCCTAGGTGGAGTTTTTTGGAAAAAGAACCAAATCCAAAACCGAAAGGATCCAGTACGCCACGCACCCCTGCGATGAATCGACAGGGGGCGGCGGATCGAAGACGCCTACGGCGAATCACCGCCGCCCCCTGCCTTTGTGGAAGCGCCTATGTGGCCGAACGTTGAGGCCAGACCTGCCAAGCCATCGGACCATGTGCTCCCCGAATCGGTCTGGACGCCTTCGGGGAACACGTGGGCATCTTGAAGGTCATCTTTGCCGTCTTGGAGGCCTCTTGGGCGATCTTTGGGGGCTCTTGGGCCGTCTCCGAAAAGAAGGAAATGTCAAAATCCATCAAAAACAACAGGAAAATCAATGTTTTCCCAACCCTCCTTGTGTTGGGTACTCGTTTTGAATAGAGCACTGTGGTATCCACCTCCCGCCCTCTCCTCCTTCTTCTCTCCTGTGTTCGCCGTGCCCTGCGGGGCTGCGATCTGCGCAATTGTCGCCATTTTCGTGGGTTCCTGGGAGGCCCAGCGGAGGTACGTCCTACGCGGACCACTTTGAGGCCTCCCTCTCCCCTGCGGGGCTGCGATCTGCGCAACTGTCGCCACTTTCGTGGGTTTCTGGGAGGCCCAGTGGAGGTACGTCCTGCGCGGACCACTTTGAGGCCTCCCTGTCCCCTGCGGGGCTGCGATCTGCGCAATTGTCGCCACTTTCGTGGGTTCCTGGGAGGCCCAGTGGAGGTACTTCCTACGCGGACCACTTTGAGGCCTCCCTGTCCCCTGCGGGGCTGCGATCTGCGCAATTGTCGCCACTTTCGTGGGTTCCTGGGAGGCCCAGCAGAGGTACGTCCTACGCGGACCACGTTGAAGCCTCTCTGTCCCTTGCGGGCTGCGATCTGCGCAATTGTCGCCACTTTCGTGGGTTCTTGGGAGGCCCAGCGGAGGTACGTCCTACGCGGACCATTTTGAGGCCTCCCTGTCCCTTTGGCGCACCTGGCGCGCACCTGGCGCACCTGGCGCGCTGGGCGCACCTGACGCACCTGACGCGCTGGGCGCACCTGGCGCGCACCTGGCGCGCACCTGGCGCACCTGACGCACCTGTCGCACCTGTCGCACCTGGCGCACCTGGCGCGCACCTGGCGCGCACCTGGCGCGCACCTGGCGCGCACCTGGCGCGCACCTGGCGCGCACCTGGCGCGCACCTGGCGCGCACCTGGCGCGCACCGGCGCGCACCTGGCGTGCACCTGGCGCGTGCCTGGCGCGCACCTGGCGCGCACCTGGCGCTCACCTGGCGCGCTGGGCGCACCTGACGCACCTGACGCGCTGGGCGCACCTGGCGCGCACCTGGCGCGCACCTGGCGCGCACCTGACGCACCTGCCGCACCTGGCGCGCCAGGTGCAACTGGCGCACCTGGCGCAACTGGCGCGCACCTGGCGCACACCTGGCGCACACCTGGCACACCTAGTGCATCTGGCGCACCTGGCGCACCTGGCGCGCTGGGCGCACCTGGCGCACCTGCCACACCTAGCGCAGACCTGGCGCACTTGGCGCGCCTGTTGCACCTGGCGCACCTGGCGCACCTGTCGCACCTGTCGCACCTGGCGCACCTGGCTCACTTGGCTCGCCTGGCGAACCTGGCACACCTGGCGCAACTGGCGCACCTGGCGCAGACCTGGCGCACACGTGGCGCAACTGGCGCACGTTGCGCGCGCCTGGCGCGCGCACCTGACGCGCTGGGCGCACCTGGCGCACCTGGCGCGCACCTGGTGCACCTGGCGCGCTGGGCGCACCTGACGCACCTGGCACACCTGGCGCACCTGGCGCACCTGGCGCGCCTGGCGCGCATGGCGCAACCGGCGGGTCTGGCGCAATTGGCGCACCTGGCGCACTTGGCGTGCCTGGCGCACCTGGCGCGCCTGGCGCGCACCTGGTGCACACCTGGCGCACCTGGCGCACCTTGCGCATCTGGCACACCTGGCGCACCTGGCGCACCTGGCGCACTTGGCGCACCTGGCGCGCCAGGCGCGCCTGGCGCACCTGGCGCACCCGGCGCACCTGGCGCGCCTGGCGCCACTGGCGCACCTAGCGCACCTGGCGCGCCTGGCGCGCCTGGCGCACCTGGCGCACCCGGCGCGGCTGGCGCACCTGGCACACTTGGCGCGATGGGCGCACCTGGAACACCGGGCGCACACCTGGCGCACACTTGGCGCGCGCGGCTGGCGCATCTGGCGCACCTGACGCGCCTGGCGCGCCTGGCGCACCTGGCGCACCTGGCGCACCTGGCGCACCTGGCGCACCTGGCGCACCTGGCGCACCTGGCGCACCTGGCGCACCTGGCGCGCCTGGCGCGCTTGGCTCACCTGGCGCGCATGGGCTTCTCTGGCAGTTTCAGCGGAGGGACGTCCTACGTAGATCACCACTATACCATGGCGCCGAAATGTCCTTCGGTATTGAGTGGTCCTGAATGCAATTGCCATTTGTGTAGACAAGGTCGGGTACGTCGCAGGATAATTTGTCTCTTCTGGCCTTCCTGGAGGCCCTCTTGGGGGCCTCTTGGGCCGTCTTGGGCCAGCTTCGAGCCAACTTCGGCCATCTTGGTGGGTTCCTGGCACGTCTGACGCCGTCGGGAGCCGTCTTGGGGGCCTTTCTGGGCCAACGGGGGCCCTCTTGGGGCGCTTCGGGGCCGTCTTGGAGGCCATCTTGGGCGTCTTGGAGGCCATCTTGGGCGTGTTGGAGGCCTCTTGGGCCGTCTTGGGGCCCTCTTGGGGCCATCTTGGAGGCCACTTGGGCCGTCATGGGGCCCTCTTGGGGGCCTCTGTAGACGATCTTGGGGGCCTCTTGGGCTGTCTTGAGCCGTCTGAAGGCCGAACAGGCGGAAATGCCAAAATCCTTCAAAAGCCTAAGGAAAATCAATGATGTTGGCCTTTTCGGGCCCTCCTAGGGAACCTCTCAACGGGCTCTTGGGCTGTCCTTCAGGCCTCTTAGGGGCCTCTTGGGCCGCCTTGGGCCATCTTGAGGCTATCTTAGGCCGTCTTGGGTACATCTTGGGCCGTCTGGGAGGCGTCTTAAAGCCATCTTAGCCGTCTTGGAGGCCATCCTGGCCGTCTTGGAGGCATCTTGGAGGCCATCTTGGAGCCGTCTTGAGCAGGAAAGTAGGGAATTGAGCTCCCCGGCTTCCTCCCGGGACCCCGGCGGGACGCGCCAGAGCCCCAGGGGGAGTTCTTTTGGAAAAAGAACCAAAACCAAAATCCATATAGTCTGGCACGCCAGGCACCCCTGTGATGAATCAACAGGGGGCGGCGGATCCAGCTGTTTGCGGCAAGTCCCGCCACCGTGCCATCTTGGGCCGTCTTCGAAGCATTTTGGGCCATCTTGGTGTCCTTGATTGCCTGCACGGACCGTCTTTGAAGCTCGGGATGCAGATCCGTGGTTTTTAACAGGGATCATGGTTTGGGAGGCCCTGGGGCGCTTAGGAGCAGCGCCTGAGATTTGCGGGAAGACGACGACGACGGCGTCGACGACGACGACGACAGCGCAGCCTTCGTCGTCGTCGCCGTCGTGCGCGCCGCTGGGCCCTCGGAGGCCTCGTCACAGCTCGTGTGGCAGAAGGCGGAGGCCTCCGCGTGGGTGGGGGCGGGGAATGGCATCCTCCTCCTTTTACGTCGCTCGGACTTTCTGCTCATGCTGTTACGCTAAGCGCTTGAAAGCCTCTCCTCCTTCTCTGGCGGGGGTTCGAGAAGGTTTTTTGCAGTCTCCTGTATGTGGGGCCGTTTTCGGACCCCAGGGACCGCCAACAAAAGGATCAAGGATGAACAACAACTGCACCGGATGGCATGAGCCCGGGAGAGGTCCGGGGACCGATTTTGAGCGGATTTGGCCTCTCTCCCCCGCCGTCCTCCCACGCCTCTCTCCCCCCCTCCCCCTCCGCATCCCTTCCTCCGCCTCTCATCATCATCACTTTTGGCACGATCACCGCCATCATCATCATCATCATCATCATCATCATCATCATCATCATCATCATCAGCAACAGCAACAGCAACAGCAACAGCAACAGCATCACCATCACCATCACCATCACCATCACCATCACCATCACCGCCATCACCATCATCACCATCATCATCATCATCATCATCAGCATCATCATAATCATCATCGTAATCATCATCATCATCATCAGCAGCAGCATGATCATCGTCATCGTCGTCGTCATCGTCGTCATCGTCATCACCACCATCATCATCATCCTCATCATCATAATTTTCCTCTTCCTATACCTCATCTTTGTGTTCATGATCCTCATCATCAACATCACCACCACCACCATCACCATCACCACCACCATTATCATCATCAGCAGCATCATCATCGTCATCATTATCATCATCATCATCATCAGCAGCATCATCATCATCATCATCAGCATCATCATCATCATCGTCACCATCACCACCATCATCAGCATCGTCAGCATCATCGTCACCACCACCACTACCACCATCATCATCATCACCATCATCATCATCGTCATCATCAGCATCATGATTATCCGCGATCCGCATCCGCATCCGCATCTGCATCCTCATCCCTCCATCCCTTACCCTCTCCCCTTCCTCCCTTCCTCCCCTTACTGCGCCTCGCCCCGCCAGCACCGCGCGGCCACACCGCAGCAGCCTGCGGGCGGAGGCCGCGAGGGCTCGGCCGCATGCGCAGGGCGCGCCCAGACGCCCTCAGAGCGGACGCTGCTGGAGTTGCGTGCCGCGCGGGCGGGGGCGCGGAACGGCATCATCTTCGTAAGAATTCAGTCGTTTGGTTGGATGGATCTCGTAAGTTCTCCGCCGCCTCAAGCGGTGTGCGTTCAGAGCAGGAATGCAGCAAAACCACAGGAAGGCGTGGCAGTGACAGTGTAGCTCCGCACGCGTGTAAAATGCTTCAGCAATCAAGAAAGCAAAACCCCAGGACAGCGAGTCCACGCCTTGGAGCCAGCTGGAGGTCTGAGGTGGCCCAGCACTTGTTCTGGCCGGCAGGAAGAAGGGGAGGTCGAGGTTCTGGTTTCGAGAACTTCGTTTTGCAGTATTCTGTATGTGGGGGCCGCTTTTCAGACCCCGAAACCGTCAACAAGGATTCAGGATAAAAAAACTGAGCAAGACGGACCCCGGGAGGGTCCTGAGCGGATTTGCCCCCCGTTTCGACTGATAGTTTCGGAGCCTAACCAACTCAGCACATTTGGCCGCCTCCAATTCACGCCCATGTCAGGTTCGTGTCGTACCGTGACTCCGTTTCTCATCACGTGGGAGGGAGGTTCGTTGTCTCTATGAGCAAGCCCTCGGTGCGGTCAGCGACCGCGACGGCGCGGCGCACAGGAATTGCCACGCTGGATCATGAGATGTTGAAGCTTTGTTGTCCCAGAACTGCAACGCTCTTTGAAACGATTTCACAGAGCGGCAGTTGATAAGTTGCTGGCAGAGATCGGCATTGACGTTCGTGTCGTAGCGTGGCTCCAGCTCTCATCACGTTGGGGAAGGGGCCGTCCTGGGCCGTGTCGCTCGTCCGAGGAAACGCGAACATGGATTGCGGGGCGTGGAGTGGCGACGGGTCCCGTTTCAACGCCAAATCGACGCGTTCCAGGGGTTCAGTCCCCGACCCGTGGATCAAGCGCCCACGAAACAGCTCCATTGATCCGACATCCACATGAGCGTGTGCCCGGCCTGTTGCTCCCCCCGAGCTCTCAAATGTTTTCCAGAGGCGATTTGCAGCCGAAAAGGCCTTCGGAAGAAAACGGCAGCGATCCTCCTCACAAAGCGTTCGTTGCTGTTTTGCCCCTCTGGGCTCTGCTCTGGCCTGCTAGATGGGGTCCGAGCAGATGGGGTCGGAGGATCGCGCCGCATCGCCGATGCATCGCCGGTGCGGCCCGATGTGGAGCCCGATTTTCTCAACGTCGGCGTCGCCGATGCATCGCCAGCGTCGCGGGTATATCTCCAATGCATCGACGATGCATCGCCAGTGCATCGCCGATGTATCGGCGATGCGGTGCAATCTGATCTAGGAGGCCCCAGAGAAGGCCTTCTCCCTCTGACATCCCCCCCGGCCGCGCGGGTATCACGCTGCGGCGTGCGCATTACATTTGTCGTTTGCTCTTCGGGTTCGACCAATGACACGCCGTGTTGGTGAGTCAGTGGGAGTTCGGGGTGACCGCGCGATTTTGGGGTTCGGTTCATTCTCAGAGGCGCTTTGGGCGACTGGGGCCTCCAGGGTGGACCGTGCGGTGCTGTCTTTGTGGATTTGGGACTCACTGCACGGTCTGTCACCACACCGTTTCGTGCTCTCTTGAGTGACCCGCGGGCTGAAGTGGTCGATCCTGGGGGCGGCGGCCGCCGAGTCGCTGCGCATGAAGCGCGCGCAGCGGGACATCGACGAGAAGAGACACCCCTCTTCTGTCTCCGAGGCGGAGCCCCTTGCATTTCAGGCAGAGCACCTTTGGACCACCATGCCGTCGCGCACGTTGTGGACTTCACGCCTGGCTGTGCCTTCCTCGCGGTCGCGGCCGCCGGCGTGGCCAATCACGACGGCGTTGCGGCCGACGATGCCCGCCAGAAATGGCTCGACCCCATCGCGTATAGGTGCGCCATGTACGATGTGGGCCACGAGGGGGGGGCACGCGGAGCAGATGTCGAGCGACATGGGGCTTCCGCGAGAAAGCGGCCAAGCATTTCAGCGGCCCCACGGTGGAGGCGCGCCGGTTTCTTGAGCCCATTCACGAGAAGGGGGCGACGGAAGTGATTCCGACACCGACGACGGCGACAGTTCGGAGTGAGCGGCAAGTCTTTGGTCTGTCGCGCGCCTCTTGGCAAGGCGTCCGATCGGCGATGCGGCTTGCTCCCCCGCGCGCGCGATCACAGCGCCACTCCGGTGGCGGGGGGCGACGTTCTCGCCGCATCTCCATCGCATGTTGACCGCGCCTAGGACCGACCGCGCGCGCGAGGACCGCCCGAGGAAAAGAAACAGGACCACCCGCAAAGCACAGGGCTTTCCAACGAGGGAACAGGAGCTCCCAACAAGTAAACAGGCCCTGTCGAGAAAAGATACACGCTAGCTCCAACACAGTAAACATGACCTCCCGAAAAGAAAGCAGGACCGTCCAAAAAGTAAAGGACCTCCCGCAAAGTATACAGGACTTCCCAAAAAGTAGATAGGACCCCCCCAACAAGTAAACACGGCCTTCCAAATAGAAGACATGACGACCCAACAAATAGGCACTGCATCTGGGATTATCTGGGAAAGTACGTAGGACCTCCCAAACAGTAAACACGACGCGCCAACAGGACCTTCCCACCAAGTCAAGATGACCTCCCAACAACTAGACAGGACCAGTCCAACGAGAAAGCAATATCCTCCATAAGCAAGAAAACAGGACCTCCCCCCAACGAAAACAACCAGGACCTCCAAACTAGTGAACATGACCACCCCGAAGTAGTAACCAGGACCTCCGTAAAAAATTACATCCCAAAACATACGTAGGACCAAGAAGTAATAGGACCTTCCAAAGAGTGACAAGGACCTTCCGAGAGGAAGTACATGACTTCCAAGTCAACAACAAACGAAGTAAACATGACTTCCAAGTCAATACACAGGACGTTCCAAGCAGTTGACAAGACCTCCCAACAAGTAAACAGGACCACCCCAATAAATAAGCAGGGCCTTCCAACACGTAGACAATGCATCCGAACAAGTAAACGCGACCCCCCAAACAGTAAACAAAACAACCTCAGAAAATATACAGGACCTCCCAAACAGCAAACAGTGCATCCCAACAAGTAAACAGGTCATCGCACAAAGTATACAGGGCCCTCCACAAATCACATGGGGACCTCCAAACAAGTAAATATGACCTCCCAACATCTAAGCATGACCATCCCAAGGAGGAAACAGGACCTCCCACAACGTGGAACAGGACCTCCCCGACAGTTAACGGGACCTTCCAAACGGTACCGGACCCCCCAATCGTAGAAAGAACTATCTCAAACAGTGAACAGGACTTCTCCACTAAGTAAATCGAGCCCCACACATGTAAACAGGACCACCCGAGCAACTACACAGAACCCCACAATGTTGTGGACAGTACAGGCTCCAACGTAAATGTGGCCTCCAACAGTAAGCAAAATCCCGAGACAGTCAACAGGAACCCCCAACAACTAAGGCAGATCATCTCAGACGTCAACAGGACCTTCCAACATGTAAATTGGTCCACCGAACACCATGACCGAAGAAACTCTCATGGCAACCCCAACAGTAAACAGGACCTCCTATTAAGCAGACGGGACCACCCGACACGTAAGCAGGATTTGACAAACAGCAGTAAACAGGATTTCCCAGAAATGATACAGGACATCGCAAACAGTACCATTTGTGAACCTGGCGCCCCAAATAGTACAGATGACCAGCCCTGAGGTGACAGGACGACCGAACAAATTCACAGGACATCGCTGCAAGTACACAGGGCCTCCCTCGACGAAAAGACAGGACCACGCCACAGGTAAACAGGGCCATCTTCACCACCATCATCAATTTCACCCTTGTTATTGTCGACGCGGCGATCGCGCATTCTTTAACAGCGAGCCCTTAAATAATATTGGCCACCCCTTTGGTTCATCAGTCAGGGAGGTCCGCCGATCGACTTGCAATCCTCACAAGGCCATGCATCCGCCGCATAAATATAAACACGGACGCCCTCCAGTGAATTGCTCCTGGGCCTCAGGGGAGTGTGGCGGTGTACAAATCACCAACCACCGACTATATGCACCGCCGCCCGCCCTCCCCAAAGGTACGCGCGAAATTGGTCGAAAGGTATCTGTGTATATGATTCGTGGCGTAATGCACTGCGGCTCGGATGGCGCGCGATGCAGGAGTGGTGGTGGCAAGCGGGAAGTCGCACCACATCCACGCGGTGGCTACCATGTCATGGCTTGTTCGGGTACTGGAAATGCGCAGCCGTCGGGGCAGTCACCAGGGATAGACGGGGGCGCCTGCGGCTGCTTACCACGGCCATGCCACGGCGGCGAGCGGCAAGGCAGCTTGCCATGCTGCGCAAGGACTTGTCGACCAAACCGGGCAAGGCGCGGCCAAACGGCACCCAGCCGCCAGCACCAGGGCGTTTGAAGCAGTGATCCATGAGCGGCTCCAGTTTTTGGAATCGATCGCCCCTAGGGCGGATGCGGTCCGGAATCAAGTGTCGCCCAGTCGCGGCCACCGGGTTGTGCCACTGTGCGTTTCGCAACAGATGTCCCAACAAACGTCTTTTCTCTCTCTCTCTCTCTCTTGTCCCACCTCCTCTTCGTCACCCTTGCTTACCGGAGCATTTCCCCACGAGAGCCACCTATGCCCGCCTCGTTCTATCGCGCCCGCGAGCGAGAGCCCCCCTTGTGGCGTGGGCACTGGGTGCTCGGCCACACCAGCCTTGCAGACCTTGCGGACATTCGTCGTTCAAGGACGTTGAAGAAGACGCTGGGAGGGGACTAGAGGTTTGGGGTCCAGTGGGTACGTAGCCCTTTCTTGATCTGTCAACACGTTATTTGCCCACCCTCCCCTGGCCCGCGCACATGCATCGGGTCATGATGGGCACCCCTCCCCTCATTATGTAAGCCGCCCGCGGGGGCGAAGACAACAGCGCTTCGCGCGTCGCGGTCTGGACCAGAGCGGTTGTCCTTCGCCAAGGGGGCGGCGCGAGGGCGCGAGGATGCGACGACAATCGCGCATCGTGGGGCGCGATGCGCGATGTTAGGCGGCTTTGCTTCGTGCCCCCCTTTTCGGCGCACCCGAGTCTTGCCCCATCCGCCCTTTCTTATTCAAGTGCTCCACGCCATTCCGGCGACCTCAGAAGTGGAGACGTGCGGCTTCTGAGTTCGTGTGCGTTGGTGACTTGTTCCCGTCGTGTTGCTTGAGTGTTGTTGCTGTTGGTTCCTCATCTGTTTCTTCCGTTTCTGTTGTGGTGTTTTTTGGGGGCCTGGGGGCGGCCTCTAGGAGCTTCTTCAACGCTCCTGCTTTTTCTGTTGTCCCTCTGGGGGTTTCTTGGGACCTGGTCGGGGAATATTTGGGAGCATGTTGGATACCTTGGGGGCCATCGGGTGCTCTCACGGGTTCCCTTCGGGTTCCCCCTCTTGTGCCTCTTCTGGGGGCTGGTTTTTTTGCCATCTTTGGGGCATCTTGGGCCGTCTGCGGGCCCTTTTGAAGGCCTCTTGCGCTTGCAGGCACCCGACAGCGCGAGAACGTTAGAAACTGATTGGTATTTGCCTCTTATGGCCTTCTCGTACGTCTCTTTGGGGGGCCTTCGTTTGGCGTCTTCTTGGGTGATCTTGAGGACTCATCGGTGTGTTGGAGCCCTTGTGGAGTCACCTTAGCAAGCATATTTGGCATCTTGGGGACCACAGAGGGTAGATCTTGAGGCTCAGAGGACCCTAGGAGTGCGTTGACGATCTCGGGCCCCTCCCCAACGGGATTTTGGACCCCAGGGGGAGGGGGAAAGGGGAGGGGGAACAGCCAATCATCTCACACGCCTCTTCACCCCCAGCAAGCGGGGGTCGGGGGATTATTTCAACAAGTCCCCTGCCCTCCGCCCCCTCGTCCGCGCACATGCCTCGGGGCATGCTGCGCAACACCCCCGCTTCACCTGCCATCGCTCGGACGTGTGCATTTTTTCTCGGCGAGGACTATCGAGGAGCATCCTGGATCATCGATCAAACAAAACACGACGCACGAAACCGAACAGTGCACGGGGAATGAACGTCTGAGCGACGGCAAGGTCATTGCCCCCTCTCAGGGGCAGCGTTAGTGGGGGAGCGCCATAGGGGGACATGCAACGACCCCCAATCGCTTACTCATCGCCGATAGGGGCCTAATAGCTCAGACCCGCATAGCTCAGACTCGTCCAGCAGCGTGCGGATTCGCTATCGGGAGCCTATCGCCGATCTATCGGCGATATACCGCCAATTCTGGCTCGGTGTCCCACCCCCCTCAGCCGGTCTCATTTTGATATCCCCTTTCAGTCGGCGCACCCGAGTCTTGTCTCATCCTCCCTTCGTCTCCTTCTCCCGCCCACCCTCTCCGCGCCGCCAGGGAGGGCAGCAGGAGGAGGGACAGGAAGGAGGGAAAAGGAGAAGGAGAGAAGGAGGAGGAGGAGAGGAGGAGGAGGAGGAGGAGGAGGAGGAGGAGGAGGAGGAAGAGGAGGAGGAGGAGGAGGAGGAGGAGGAGGAGGAGGGAGGGAGGGAGGAGGGAGGGAGGAGGCAGGAGGGGCCCCCCGCCCACCCCCTCACCGCGCCGCCCGCGCAGACGGACAGCCGCGGCCAAGACAGCATCACCCGCGCCGCTCCGCCCGTCCGCAGCAGCGTCACCTCGAACCTGGTCTCCGAGGCCCGCCTCGCGCCAGCACCGGCCCGCTCGCTTCCTCCTCTCAAGCAGTGGCGAAGCGTCCCGGCTCGCCTACAGGCCCACCAAGGAGTGTTCTAAGAGCCTCTTGTGGTCTGCACGAGATGTTCTTAGAACATTTCTGGTTGAGACTGCCTTGTTTTATGACATCGGGCTGATGTTCTAAGAGCCTTGTTTCTGTTATTAGAACATTTGGGGATTCTAAGAACATGTCGTGGTAGGCCTATGGGAATGCCGGGACGGTCGGTCCCTGCTCAACACCTCGCGCCAGCACCGGCCCGCTCGCTTCCTCCTCGGACTCCTCGCCAGTCGGGGGCAGCGTTCATGAGGGGGGGGGCACAGGCTCAGGCGGGGAGGCATCGACCCCCCACCGCTTGCCAGCCGCCGATGGGGGCCCCGCCCTACCCAGGAGCGGTCGGAGTCGTTATCGGGGGCCTATCGCCGATCCATCGGCGATGTATCGCCGACTCCGGCTCGAGGTTCCCCAGCCCCCTCCTCAGCCCATCCTCCCCCCTTTTATCCTTGCCCCTCAGGCGTGAAACAAGCGGGTCCTGAGGGAAGAAAGTCCTGATTTGTTTCGCCATTCTGCCAACAAAATACTCGGGATGAAGAGTTGGTTCCAGGGGAGAGCTCCAGGATCTGGCACTCGGAGGGAGCAGGGGGGCATGGTTCCTGCTGCGGGTACTGGCTCGTTGCAGCGCCTATCTGTTTTGAATTATAGCCGGAGTGCAGTATCCCCAAACAGGGTTTTTAAACCCACTGCGGTTTCCAAGGTCGATTGCGTGCCCGTCCAGTGCGGGCTGGCATGCCATGTTAGAACATGCCTCCTCCTCCTCCTCCACCTCCACCTCCACCTCCTCCACCTCCTCTTCATCCCGAACGGCATCTCGGAACCCAGAGTTGCGAGGATGTCTGCAGCGTAACGGGCTGCACCACCTCGCGCGCGGCATCTCGGACCCAAGAGTTGCGACGATGCCTCGGGCGAAACGTGCTGCGAGGAAGTCTCAGGCGAAACGGGCCGGACCACCTCGAGCGCGGCGTCTCAGAGCTCCGAGTTGCGGGGGCCTCCTGTGGCCTCCTGGGGTGGGCCTTCTGGTGACCTCCTGGGGCTTCCTCCTGGGCCTCCTGTGGCCTCCTGGACCCCACCTGGGGCTCCCAGGGGGGGATATCTAACATGTGGCCGTCGGGGCCCCCCAAACTGGGGGGGGCCACAAGAGCAGGACAAATCAACGAATCGACACCGGATGTGTATTAACTTGACACGTTCTGATAGAGGGCCTCCTGGGAGCTTCCTGGGAATCTCCTGGGGATCCCTGGGGCCTGTCCTGGGCGTCCTGCGGCCTCCTGAAGCTCTCTGGGGCCTCATGGGGCTCCCAGGGTCTCAGGGGGGATATGCAGCATCTGGGAGCTCAGAGTTGCGAGAATGTCTTGCGCGAAACAGGCCGGACCACCTTGCGCACGGCATCTCAGAGCTCAGAGTTGCGAGAATGTCTCAGGCGAGACGGGCCAGACCACCTCGCGCTGGGCATCTCAGCTCAGAGTTGCGAGGATGTCTCCAGCGAAACGGGCTGCACCACCTCGCACGCGGCATCTCCGAGGTCAGAGTTGCGAGGATGTCTCAGGCGAAATGGGCTGGACCACCTCTTGCGCGGCAGCTCAGAGCTCAGAGTTTCGAGGATGTCTTTGGCGAAACGGGCCAGACCACCTTGCGCGCGGCATCTCAGAGCTTAGAGTTTCGAGGACGTCTCAGACGCAACGGGCCGGACCACCTCTCGCGCGGCATCTCGGAATGCAAAAGTGCGAGGATGTCTCAAGTGAAACGGGCCGGACCACCTGTTGGGCGGCATCTCGGGGCTCAGAGTGTGGAGGATGTCTCAAGCGAAACGGGCCGGACCACCTCTCGCGCGGCATCAGAGAGCTCAGAGTTTGGAGGATGTCTTAGGTGAGACGGGCCGGACCACATTGCGCACGGCATATCAGGGCTCAGAGTTTGGAGGATGTCTCAAGCGAAACGGGCCGGACCACCTCTTGCGCGGCATCTCGGAGCCCAGAGTTTGGAGCATGTCTCAGGCGACATAGACTGGACCACCTCTCGCGCGGCATCTCAGAATTCAGAGTTGCGAGGATGTCTCAGGCGAAATGGGCTGGACCACCTCGCGCACGGCATCTAGGAGCTCAGAGTTTGGAGGTTATCTCAGGCGATACGGGCCAGACCACCTCTCGCGCGGCATCAGAGAGCTCAGAGTTTGGAGGATGTCTTAGGTGAAACGGGCTGGGCCACCTCTCGCGCGGCATTTGGGAGCTCAGAGTTTCGAGGATGTCTCAGGCGAAACGGGCCGGACCACCTCTTGTGCGGCACTTAGGAATTCAGAGTTTGGAGGATGTCTCACGCGAAACGCCCAATCCAATCCCCGACAACTCAGAAACACGAGTTGCGAAGATGTCTCAGGCGAAACGGCCCGGACCACCAAATTTGTTTGAGGACGTCTTTGCTTTGAATTCCCTCGTCCGGAGTTAGCTTCTATCACAATTGCACCCCGTTTAGCAAGCTGTTTGGGGAAAAAGCGAGCGCGCAACTCACCGATAGTTGCATGTTCTGGAGTCGGTAGCTGACCACCCCCCTCAGGGTCCTAAGCGGGACGAGTCTTCACTTCGAGGCTGCTGTTGAGGGAGACCCCGCGAGTTTTTGTTCGTGCATTGCCCCGCCTCTATCATCCCCTTCCGTTCTGACCCCCCTCCTCCGAGGAGGGGAGAAGAGAGATGAATGGGGGGACGGACGAGGGAAACAAGGACATAAACATGACAATTCGGAGGTCCGCGCGGATTCCTCGGATCGGCGCTGAACCGCCCTCCTTGGCGCGCGGAGCGCGCCAGGGGGGGGCGTCGAAGGCGCCGCCAGCGGTCCCCAGCGCCAATCCGAGGAATCTGGAATCCGCGCGGACCTCCGAGTTCTAGTTTATGTCAGTGTTTGTTCCCTCGTAAGCTCAGAGCCCCGACTCATCAGGGATGGGGACCTTTACCCCGGACCGCAGTTATCCCGGATAATTCGGGCATCCAACCCTCCCGAATCATACTCAGGGGCTGGGGGCAGTCAGGCAGTCAGGGATAGCTACAGATTCTCGCCTCGGGGGCTCCAACCAGAGTTACCCCCGGACCGCAGTTGTCCCGAGTCATTCGGGCGCAACCCTCCCGAATCATCAGGGCTGGGGGCAGTCAGGGTGGCTACAGAGTCGAGCCTCGGGGGCCCAAACTGGAGTTACCCCGGACCGCAGTCATCCCGGAGACCTCGGGCGTCCAAAAAGCGCCCGCGGGTCCTCCAGCCCAGGCGGTCCCCGGGCTGCCCGGGAGTCGTGGGCGAGCCCAGCGGGGGGGGCAGCGAGAGGCCCCAACCCAACCCGAGGGCCCCAATTCGCCCTCCACTCCCAGCGGGGGGGGGGGCGTCGGAGAACATAGAAACAACACGTGTGGAACACGTACTCCCCTCAATCCGAGATCTGGTTCGTCGGGTTGGGTTGTGGTGGTCTGGTAGGCAGTCAGAGAGGGAGACTCAGGAGGGAAAGAAACAACAGACACAAGTAATCTTGAATCCCCACGGAGGTATGGAAAAGATGGAAAGTGGAGGGGAGCGAAAGTCCAGAACATCTGGGAAGGTATAGGAGATCCCGGGATTTGTGTCTATTTTGTTGTGTGCCCCTGGGCCCCTTCAGGGACGGAGAGTCGGTCGGGAGGTTCCGGAGTTTCGGGCTCGAGGTTCGAGGTCTTTGGGCGTCCTCGTCGGTTCTCAGCGGTTTTCCAGCCTCGCGGGATGCGTTGCAGCGGCTGCGCCTCGCCGAGAGCGCTGCGGGGTTGCCGTGATCGCCCCGAACGGCCACCTGAGAGCCGAGCTGCGGCCGGAAAAGTGTGGGCGAGTGGTAATGGGGAGTGTCGGAGGTGGACAGACCTCCTGCCCTGACACGTCGATTAAGGAATTGGCAGTTTTCGGTTCGCGAGAGGGCGTCGCGGCTGTCTTTTTTGCGGGCCCAGGTCCGTCGGTTTCGGTCCCAGGCCGTTTCCACTAAAGGGAGGTTTACTAAAGGGAGGTTTGTCCACCGCCGAAGGTGACCTAAATGTGGGGTGAAGAAAAATGCCAGCAGGGCCTTGAAGGGCCCCTTCAGGGCCCTTCTCTTCACACCCCATTTCGCTCACCCCCCAGTCCCACCCGCCCGAGAACCAGCAGGCATTCGAGAGGGGGCATGGGGAGCTGGCCTTCTTAGAGTTCGGAGCGAAAGACGGACCGTACATGTACGTACTACTTGAATCCACGTTGGTTTCGAGAGTGCGCATTGCGCGAGCCTTCGTAACAGGAGTCTGACCTGGTGGACTGGGGGCCGTATTCATGAACGTGTCTGAGCGCGTACGTCCTCTTTCTGCTCCTGCAGAAGGCGACGGGGCTTCTCAGAAGCCCTCAGGCCTTTAAAAAGCCGTTTCTGGTTCTGGAGAAGGTTCAGGAGGCTTCTCAGAAGGCCAGAGGGCTCCTGAGAAGCCCCGCCGCCTTCTGAGAATGCTTACGCTCTCTCACTTCCCCCTTGGCTTGCCGCCGAAAGAGGGCGACCTCTGCTGTCCCGCTCCACGGTCCTCCAAACGGTGCTGCGACCACACCGTAAGTCAGCGTGGACTCGGGGTGACCGCTGGGTGTTGGGACGTGGATCGATCTCCGAGGACGTCTCGGGCGACTGGGACCTCCGAGGTCCCAGAACCGTGCGTTGATGGACCGTGCGGTGAGGTCTTTCGGGATTCCGAGGTCACCGCACGCTCTGTCACCGTACCGTTTCGGGACCCCCGATGTCCAGCCCCACGTGCGCCAGAAGCCAGGCAGCTGGCAAAGAGCCCGATCCATTGCCGACGCCCGCGCCGCAGGAGCCGCGCCAGCGTTTGCGAGCAGCGCTGGCCGCAGCCCACGCCCGCCCGTTCTGGCGTCCGCTCTTTCGCGCCCTGGGCCGAGGCGAGGGCGCGTGCCATTTGGCCGCAGTTCACTCAAGCCAACACGGCCACGGAGTGTAAGACATAGCACGTTCTGTGGGCGCTTGCGGAAGAGGGGGGTTTAGTTGGGTCCCCCCAGGGGCGCGACGATAGGTAGTCGCTCTTCGCGCGTCGCGGTCTCGGCCAGAGCGACTGCTCTTCGCCAAGAGGGTGGCGCGGTTTGGGGGTTGCTTGCAGAGGGGTCTAGGCCCTTCTATTGCAGGGGGAAGTGGGAGAGTGGGGGTTGTCGTTCACCCCCCCTTCCCCCCACCCCGAGGACGACGGACGCCGACGACGACGACGTCTTCTGCCGGCGCGAGGGATGGGGTGGTCGTAACCTATGTGGCCCCCCCTTCAGGGGTGGATTGTCCTGTGTCGTACCCGCCCCCCGCCCCCCCCTCCCGCCCTCGCGCTGGAGGACAGAGAAGTGCGGGGAGGTTTGGGGGGAGCATGGGCGGGGTCCGGGCATCGGAGCCCACCCCCCTCCAGATGTTTTTCAGCCAAGCGCCCATGAAACCCGTTCCCTCGATGATCACGGGAAGGACGCGGAGGGGGAGGAGGAGGACGCGGAGGAGGAGGATGAGGAGGAGGAGGAGGACGAGGACGAGGAGGAGGAGGAGGAGAAAGAGGAGGAGAAGAGGAGGAGGAGGTGGAGGAGGAAGAGAACGAGGAGGAGGAGGAGGAGGAGGAGCGGATTCCCTTCGGGGATCATCCATTCAAGTTGGAACGATACAGGAGGAGGAGGAGGACGAGGAGGAGGAGGAGGAGGTGGAGGAGGAGGAGGAGACCAGTCTAGCTTGTGCGAGTCATCATTTGTCGCCCGCGCTACCGTCCGTCAAGGGGCTAGGGAGAGCATCCGCGCCTCGTGCAGGCGTTTTTCGACATCGTCGTCGAAGAACTGTCTAGATCATCGTCGTGCAGATCATGATGTTTCTCCTCCGCCTCCTCTTCTCCCTCCCCTCCCCCTCCTCCGCCTCCTCCTCCTCCTCCTCCTCCTTCCTTCTCCTCCTCCTCCTCCTCCTCCGCCTTCCTCCTCCCCCGTTCATCCATGGAGGTTGCCCCGTCCTCAGACAGGCACGCGTTCCGCCCGCGCGGAAGGTCGCGAGCCAGCCGCCCCGAATTGCCCTTCCTCCCCCACCCCGTCCGCAGTCCGCAGTCCGCGGTGCGTTTGCCGCGAGCTGGCGGGCGCCCTCCGGCTCCCGGGGCGCTGCCCTGTCGAGGCAGGCATCGCCAATCCACCGAGCCGCTTGGCTCTCCAGCTGTGCGGCTGCGGCTCTCCCGCCCCCACACGCTCAGATCGGTATCCTTTAACCCATCCCCATCCCCACCCCCATCCCCTTCGAGACCCCCACCAAATTCCCGCCCCAGTTGAGGATACACCCCTCGAAACCCGAAGGGAACGACCTATATCCCCATCTAAGGGGGTAAATCGGCCAGCGGGGCCCAGGCCACGCCGCTGGGGATGGGGATCGGTTAAACGATACTCAGAGGAGGGGAAAAGGTACGGATACCGCCACCTTTGCTTCGGTTTCGCCTTTCCGGGCCTCTTGGGAGGCACTCGTCGCCACCGTTGGATTCGCATCGAAATCCTGGTCAGGACGAACCCTGGGAGAGGTCCAGGGAACGGCGGTGTCACTGCCCTTTTGGTTGCCGCTCCCCCCACCCCGCCAGCCCCCCTCAAGAGCGAACAAGAAGCGCACGTGCGGATGATTAGTTCGTGGGTATCGATTGTGTGCATCGCGCTAACGTTCGTGGCACGAGGTTGGCCTCGCGGACTGGGGGGCCGTATTCAGGTACGTGGCTGGGCGCGTACGTTTTTGTGGGATCCTTGCTCCCAGTGTGGCACCCACCCGCTCGTCCGCCGAGCGGCCAGGACAGCGTGACCCTGGACGTCTTCAAAGGCAAAATCATGGAGGACGATGGGACACTCCGCTGTTGCAGCTTCCCTTTGCCGGTCGCATCGGCCACACGTGTACGCCTCCCTCATATTCTGGCTTTGTTTCCTCCTCCCACAGCGGGTATTCCTTGTGTACCCCCCCCTCCCTTCTCCGTACGTGTTACTCGTTCATCTCTTCCCCTATTCCCTTCTGATCCCTTCTCTTCATCTTCTTTCTTGTCTTCGTCCTATCGCATACATCCTTTATCACCCTCTCTCTATCCGCCCCCCTCTTCTCCTTCCGTTCCTCGTCATTCACATCAGTAGCATTCGTAATCTTCGTGCTGCTTCTCCTGTTGCTTCTCATTCTCGCCAGCGGTACCATTCTGACTCGCTGTCTGCCCAGTATCAGGTATGAGGGCCTCGGACGCCCATTCGGCAAAAGATCATCGAACGCCCTTTCGGCAGCCGAGGAATGGCATGCAGGGCGGATGAGACGCTAAAAGCAGATGGAGGGCGAGGAGGATGGGGGGGGGGCGTCGGATAATGAGAGGGAGCGTCAGATGGGGGGGGGGGCGTTAGGGAGGATCCGCGACGCGCCGCGGGAGGAAGCGAGAGGGGGCATGACTTCTCAGACGGCGCCGCCGCTTCCAGAAGCCGTCTGGCCTCTTGGTCGCCGACTAGATTGCACCACAAAGATTCAACAAGCACTGCACACATTAGGTTTTCATTTCTACAAGGAACATACATTCTACCCCAGCTATATTGCCAGAAATACACAGCTTGGGTCAACATGGATTAACACATGTCTTTATGTACATCGATCTGCAGTGTAATCCGATGTAATTCCATGCAAAGCAGCACAAGGCAACGCACGCCAAGCAACAAGGCGTTGCAATGCGAAGCAGTGCAGAGCAATACAAAGTAACGCACAGCAATGCAACACATTGCGGAACCACACAACTCAATGCAGCGCACAGCAATGCAGAGCCAGGCAACGCAATTCAATTCCATACACATTTAGTAAAGTATTGCGAAGCGACGCAAGACAAGCAACGTGAAGCCATGCGAGGAAAGTCAAAGCAACACAAACCAATGCGATGCAATGACAAGGAGGGTAACGCAATGTACATAAATTCAAAGCGATGCGAAACTATGTAAGCCAATGCAAAGCCATGCAAGGTAATGCCAAGCATTGCTAGGTGCAGCATAACATGGTATAGTAATGCAAAGCAATGCGAAGCACTGCAGGCACCGACGACAGGCGGCGACGAGGCGGCGACGGGGCGGGGACGGGGCGGGGACGGCGACAACATAGCCGCAAGACAGACGCCCAGGCCCAGACGACTGGCGGCGACGAGGCGGCGACGGCGACGACACAGCCGCCAAACCGACCCCCACGCCCAGTTCCATAGACGACAATGAAGAACCCCTAACTGCAGGCATTGTGTGGGAATAATTAGAAAACGTAGCCAGGCCAAGAGTGCCCCAGGGACAGTCTCAAAGAGGCTGTGTCCGGGCGATGGCTGGCGAGGGACCCAAAACAATAACCCCAACGACCGGCGGTCCCCCTGAGTGACGGGTTTGGGGACCCACTTGGTTGCCCCACGGCCCGTTTTGGAGAAGGGAGGAGAAGGGAGGAGGAGGAGGAGGAGGAGGAGGAGGAGGAGGACCACGAGGAAGGGAGTGACGAAGGGAGTGATGTAGGGAGGGTGGAGGGGAGGGAGGGAAGGAGGAGGAGGGGGCGATGGAGGAAGGGAGGGAGGGAGGAGGAGGAGGAGAGGGAGCAGGGAGGGAGGCAGCAACACGTTGCCTCTGGGAGCCTCCGTCATCCGCGACGGCGGGCGCGGAGAGGTTTTTTTTTGGGGGGAAACCGGCAGCTAGCCTCTGCCTGGCCATCCTTCCTTGGCAACGTTAGGGGGGGAGATCTGCTCATAGGCTCAGACTGGGGGGGAGGTTTCCAGCGTTTTCGGCAGTTCTCGGGGGTCTTCCGGCCTCGGCATGCTCTCAAGCGGCTCGGCCTCGCCCAGAGCGTTCTGGTGTCACCCAGATCGTCCCAAACGGCCGCCTGAGAGCCGAGTTACCGTACGGCCCGAGAATCAAGGGACAACGTTAGGGGGGGATAGGCTCATGGGGTGGGCGCATTGACCCCCAATCGCCCATTCCTCGCCTACAGGGACCTGATAGCCCACCCTGCCCAGGAGCGTCGGGACCCGCTATCGAAAGCACATCGCCGATGGTATCGCCGATACCAGGTCAAGATCCCCCCCCTGAGGCAGTCCCCCCCCGTCGTTGCCCCTCAGGGTCGGGAAATCAGCAACCAGCCTCTGCCTGGCCTGTTCTGGGCCCTGGAGTGGTGGAGTTTAAGGCGTTGAGCTCCAGCGACGCACGCGTTTCTGCTGCGTCTTGTGAGGGAGGGAGAAGGGGAAAGATGGGAGAGGGCCGCTCTAGTATACCGTGCGGGGGCGTCTTGTGCGTGGTTTGGGCGTCACCGCCAGGACGAGTGGGTATACCAGAAGCTTCGAGCAGCTTGCGAAGCTGAGCTGAGGCAGCGAGGGGTGTTCAAAAGATGGACGACCGCAGATTATGAGCGGCAGAAGGGAGCGCCCAGAATGCAGACAGGAGGCTTATAGCTCGCTTAGATACCTCCAAGAGCCCCTTCCAGCTCCGCCGTCTCTTCGTAATCTCTAGCTCTCCCTTACCGCTGGTCTCCGTCAAGGAAGGTGGGAGGTGCCAGGACAAGAGATGCGCTGAGTGGCAATGGGGCAGCGGCAAATTCTGACTGGGAGGAAGGATCGTCCACCATTCCAGCACAGGTGGAAGTACGTGGAGATCCGATGTAGGAATTGAAGTCTGAGTTTACGTTTTCGCCCATGCGTTGTATATTCAGGAGAGGTATGTGTTGCAAGTGGGGCAGGAGGATCTAGTTCGTGAAAGGGCGTGATCGCGAAGGAACTTGCATGTGTGCGAGAGAGCGGGGAAGATCGATGTGTAGAGCAATGGCGCGCGAGAGAAAGAGAGAGAGAGAGAGATACACAACCATAATATGTGAGACGAGGTTATCGCAGGCGCCTGCGGCGAACCATCGCCGCCCCCTGCTTGTTGGAAACATCAATACGGCCAAACGTTTGGCCGAAGTCTTGCCAAGCTATTGGACGACGTGCTCCCCGAGCCATTGTGGAAGCCCTCCGGGTAACATTTGGGAGAGGAAGAGAGATGGCGAGAGAGAAAGAGAGAGAGAGAGAGAGAGATCTATACATCTGCGCTAAGGGCCGCTCCTGTGATCTACCTTTTTCTTGGTTTGTTCATAGATTGTCTTTTCTCGTTTCAATTATGTCTCCTGTCTGTTGGACCCCGTGTCCGTTGCCCGAATCAGTATTCGAATGCACGTCATCATCAGAATGGATTGTGTTTCATTTATCATCCTTCGTTATGGATCGCAGGAGTGGCCTGTGCATATGGATCACCGCGGGGGTTCCAACTTTTGTGTGGCGGATTACAACACGGATGGTTTTTGCAGCGGATTGCACACAACGAGTCTTCCCGTGACACATTTTCCATGATTCTGGAAAAAGAAACACCCTCTGCTCTGGAGGGGCTTCCATTTCAAAGCCGCTCCTGTGGTAAGGCAGCCGCGGTGATGGTGCCGCTTGTAAACGGGTGATCACCCCCGCCGCCGCCAGGGTTGACACGACTTCAAACCTGCACCTCGAGTACTATCACAGTGAACCCACCGTTTTCATCGGCAGTCTAATCGCCACGTCCAAGACCATCATATACACGGCCACCATTGCCACCGTCAATGCAAGTTTCACGCACTACCATCATCACCACCTCCCCTGGGGGCAGCGGCATTCACGACCACCACAGTCATGATCATGAGCAGCACGGCCACGACCAGAACTTGCACCGCCGTCACAACCCTTTGGCGCTGAGGGTGGTCGCGGAACGAATGGTGGGAATGGCGATGCACATGGCAGTGGCGCACGGCGTGACAAATCATGATGGTGATCGCATTCATTTCGTCCCATGTTCCACCATTATTAGTTGCGTCAACACCACTGCCACCTGGTCCACCACCACCACCAACACCATTGGCATTATCTTCGCCGTGTGCACCGCCAGCAACGCTTGGAACATTGCTGCCACCGCCGCCTGGCTAGCAACAACCACCACCACAATCATCCATCGCGATCACCTTCATTCTGGCTTTGTGCAACCAGCCGTGAAGAACCGCGGCCCTCAACTTGAATATTTCTGTGGAGATCTACGCACTCATTCCTATTGCGGAGGATTCAGGTGAACTCCGTTCGTACACACTTACAAACTGATTCTTGTTGGAGTTCTCTTCTGTGGGGTGCTACACATCGTTGCCTATCACGTCGGAGACACTTCTGAAATTCGTTCGTGCAAGCGGTCACACTGATTCTTATGGCGCGGCCTTCGAATGCTATCTGTTTGAGGAGAATTACAAGTTGATTCCTTGTGCGTAGGGTACAAGAAGAATCGTTGTGTATTTAGGTTTACACATTGATTCCTGTTGTGCGGCATTCAAATGGAATCCTTTTGCGCCTGGGCCGGGGGGGTGGGGGCGGCTTGGTCGACGGGAAGACAAATTGTTGCGCCGGCAGCTGGGCAGAGGGTGACGGCGCTGGCGATGAGAGGCTTAAGCGGGGATGCCGTTGGAACGTATTGCGCTACCGTGCAAGAGGAGGAGGGAGGAAGGACGCGGCCGAAGGAAAACACGGATACGGCGGGTGGCTCAGGGGTCAGAGCGTTCCCCGAGCGCGTGGCGCCGTGTGTGCACTTACACCTTGAATCTTTTTGTGTGACTCTCAAACACAATCCCTGTGTGGGGAAGTACACATTGATTCTTATCGCGCAGGAAACAAGAGAAATCCTTGTTGTGCTGACTTACAAATCGAGTTCTGCTGTTGCGCGACCCTCAAATCGAATTCCTCTGTGCCCGGTTCACGGCGAGAAGAGGGGCGCGGGCCTGCCGACGAAAAAAACTAAAAATACAAAATTAAAAACAAAAACAAACTGGGAGACCAAAGTGCCGTGCTCTTAATGGTGAAATTGTTTGAAGTGTAAACCCCAAAACACCAACAAAAACAACGCGGAATCAAAGAACACTTGTGTTTTCACCTGTTCGCGCACTCGCAATCTGAATCCTTCTTTGTGGTTCTCAAGTAACGTCCCTGTGTGTGGAAGTGCAAGTCGACGCCTGCTGTGTAGGAACAAGTTGCAATCCTTTTGTGCAGACTTCACATTGATTTCTACTGTGCGACCTTCACATTGAATTCCTTTGTGCCTGGCTCAGGGTGAGGGGATCGGGCGGGCTGGCCGACGAAAAAGACCAAGAAGCCAACCACGACAACTTGGGAGACCAAGGCCGTTGAGTTGTTAATTGTGTAAAATGGTTTTTATGGCAAACCCCAAAACGAAGAAAAAACAAACAAAGGAAGGACAGCAAAGGAAGCCTGTGTTTTCACAGCGTTTGCGCATTTACACATTGACCCTTTTTATGTGGCTCTCAAATAAAAGCCCCTGTGGAGGAACTGCAGCACAAGGAATCAATGTGTAAATGCGGAAACACTGTGGGAACACAGGTGTTGTGTTTTTTTTTGGGGGGGGGTACAAGGAAACACCATTTCACTATGAAAAACACAGCGCGTTTTGTTTCCCAAGTTGTCTGTGTTGTTTGTCTTTTTCGTCGGCCCAGCTGCCTTCCTCCCGCGAGCCATGCACAAAAAGAATTCTATGTGAAGGCCGAACACCTTAGGAATCAATATCTAAGTCTGTACACAAGGATCTCGATTGCATTCTGCACAGTATGCATCAGTTTTGTAGTTCCCCGCGGAGGGGGGGGGTAGTTGAGAGTCACACAAAAGGGCTCAATGTGTAAATGCGCAAACGCAGTGAAAACACGTGCGTTCTGCGCTTCCAAGTTCATGGTTTCTTTATTGTTTTTTTTGGTGTTCTCGGTTTTACAAACCAAAACCAGTTTACACTAGAACGCTTCGTTTTTTAGTCCCCCAAGTTGTATGTGTTACACGTTTGTCGTTTTGCTTCGTCGGCCAGCTTGCCCCCTTCTCTCCCCTTGAGACAGGCGCAAGGGAATACATGGTGAATGCCGCACAATAGACATCACTTTATACGTCTGCACGACAGGAATTTATCTTTCCGACACGCTACGAATCAGTGTGTACTTCCCCACAAAGGGATGTTATGTGAGAGCCACGCCAAAGGATGCAACTTGTAAGTGCACAAGCACTGTGATCACACATGTTTTTTTTGTTTCAAGAACCATTTCATGATTTAGATACAACGCAGCACTATTTGTCTCCCAACTTGTTGTGTTTTGTCTTCCTTGTTTTTCCATACTTCTCGTCGGTCAGCCCGACCCCCTCCCCTCCCCCTGGGCCAGGCACATCGGAATTCTATTTCAATGCCGCACATCAGAAATCGATGTGTGAGTTTGCACATATGGATGTCAATTTGTGTCTACACAATAGGAATCCATGTTGCAGGTCCCCACAAGTGGTTTTTATTTGACAGCCGCACACAGTGATCCAATTTGTAGATGCGCAAGGTGTGAAAAAAACACAGGTTGTCCTTGTTTCTAAGTTGTTTGTTTGCCTGTTGCGGTTTGCCAATTGAAGTTTTTACATTAAAAACACAGCGTCGTTCGTCTCCCAAGTTGTCTTGTGTGCCTTTTTTGTATTTGTTGTTTTTTGTTCGCGATTGATTTTTCCTGTCACGCCTATCCCTCTCCCCGTTGCGCCAGACACAAGGGAATTCGATGTAAAGGCCCACACACATAATCAATGTGTAAGTCAATACGCACGTATTTCGAATGTATCCTGTGCGCACTAGAAATCAATGTGTAGACCACCACAAAGTGATTCAAGTTGAATGATTTCGTATGCTGTCACAAAACATTTTGAAGGTTGCAAGTTCAGCAACGTTGAATTTGACTTGCGTCACATTCGCATGGCGTCGTAGCAAAAACGACGCAAGCTAGATCACAGGAGCGGCCCCTACAACAAATACGTGTACACAGAGAGGGGGCAGGAGGAGAAAGAGGAGAAGGAGAAAGAGGAGAGAAAGGATGATGATGGTGGCCATGCCCACGATGATGGTTATGATACTCTTGTTGGTGATGATGAGGTTGTTGATGATGGTGATGTTGTTGAAGTTGCTTATGCTGGTGATGATGTTTGGTGATGCTGATGATGATTATGTTGCTGATGAGAGTGCTTGTGATAATTGTCATTATGTTGTTGATGTTGTTGATGGTGAGGTTAATGATGCCGGTTGTGATGTTGGTGATGGTGTTGATGTTGTTGCTGGTGATGATGAGGATATTGGTGGTGATGGTGATTATGATGATGGTGATCATGGTGATGCTGTTGATGTTGGTGATGATGCTGAATGATGATTCTCATGATGCTGAGGGCGAGGAGGAGGAGGCGGGGGAGGAGGAGGTGGTAGTTCATACCACTGGCAGGTGTCGCCGGAGGCCCAGGAAACTATAAGTGCGCAGAACGCGTTGGCAGAATGGGGGGAGAGAATTTGAGGAGGAGGAGGAGGAGGAGGAGGGTGAGGAGGAGGAGGAGGAGGAAGAGGAGGAGGAGGAGGAGGAGGGGCAGGGAGGGAGGAGGAGGGAGGATTGCTGGTTGGACGGTTTGGCTCCGAAGTCATCAGAGCCCTCCAAGCCTTCTCTTCCCCTTCCACGCTGGGGTTCGTAGGGGGGCCGCCTGTGTGCTGCACCCTGGGGCGGCGTGCGAGGAGGGGCGGCCAGTGGCCTTTTCCCAGGGGGCCCTGCAGCATCCAGGGGCCGCGGCCTCGCCTAGCTGGTCTGAGACATGCCCAGATGGTATCCTTCTCGTCCAGCTCTCCTTCTCCTCCTCCTCCCCCTCCTCCCTTCTCTCGGAGCCTGCGCGGATGACATCGGCATGGTCCTCCGTGCCTTGCAGACGGTTCGAGTCCGTGAGCCCCATTTTCTCCGGCTGCGGCAGGTTGCGGCATTATCTTTGCAGGCCGTCAAGTGCGTCATCGTTCCATTGTGGGCTGACCTTACTGATGAGGTCAAATCCGTTGTCCAGGCTGAGCTCTCTTTGTGTGCCCCCAGTCGGTCTCAATTTCTGGTCGCACCTACAGCTATATATCTGGGAACCCTACAGGGACCAGGCGCGACCCTCGATAATGAATGGGCTGTCCCGTTCATGAAGTGGCGCGGCAGATGCATAGAGCTCGGTGCTCTTGCCTCTTCCGCCGACGTCTCTGCCAGATTGTACAACTCGTCGGTTCTGTCCTGCACGTCTTATGTGGCGCAGTTTTACCCCATTAGCGACACCATGCGGAAGAAAGAGCTGTGGGGCCTGCACAAATCGTTGCGCCTTCCTCCCTACTCCTTCGCTCTCTCTGAGTTCCTCTCTCTCTTGGCACCTGGTCCCCTTCCCCTGTCCCTTCTTCGCTCCTGTCCACTGCCCTCGCTTGTGCCTGGCGCTGCGCATCACTCACGCTCGACTCGCTCTGGGGCCCCCTCCTTCGCCGTCTAAGGGACGCCGCGGAGGCCTCGAGTGCTGCCGGGGGCCTCGGAGCAGTCGACCTCGTACAGGGTAGCTGGTGTGCTCCGTGCTGGCAGCGCCGCCAAGCGATTGTCCAATACTACGAGCAACATTGCTCCGCCATGCCGATGTCGCACCCCCCCCCTCTCTTCTGTGCAGCTTCGCCTCGCCCAGCGCCGTGCACGAATCGCCGTGCGCGAGGCCACCCGGGAGGGTCGTCGGCCCAAGATGCAAGGCCTCTATGCGCGCACCCTTGCGAGTCTTGCCTATCCCGATAAGCTTGAGCTCCTAATTGGGCGGCGCCTGCGGTCCTGGTTCGATTGTCCTGCCCCCCGAAACATGCGAGTTCGATGGGACCTGGTGCGGGAAATCCTGCGCCGGGCCCCTCCGAGCATTCGTTGGCCGTACCTCAAGACGATTTCGGGGGGATGGACCACCACGGGCCGAATGCACGTTACAGATACTTTATGGAGCTGTGTTTTCGGATGTTCGCACTCCGATACCATAGCACACTATTTAAAGTGCCCCCGCCTCATTCACCTTGTATGTCGTCCTCGTGCTGTCGTCTCACCGTGTCCCCTTCTCCGCCTCGGTCTTGGTCTCCCTACGCAATATCCGGCATTTGATATCACCCTGGAGAGTGCCATTTTAGCAACGGCTCTCAGTTTCTATCTCTACCACGTTGCCAAGGAGATGGCTTCGCATCAAGACGGACGCCCTTTAACTCTCCCGCAGCAGCTCGATGCTTTGAAAGCGGCATTGGCCAAAATGCCAAGCAATTACTCGATTCTACCCCCTCCGCCCAATGCGGCTAGGCCATACAGCTGGCTCAGGCCGAGGCGTCGAGGCTGAGCTCGACCGACTCGCTGAAGCTACTGGCGCTCCTCCCCCTCCTCCCCCTCCCCCTCCTCCTCTTCCTCCTCCTCTTCCTCCTCCTCCTCTTCCTCCTCCTCCTCCTCTTCCTCCTCCTCAACCTCCTCCTCCTCAACCTCCTCCTCTTCCTCCTCCTCAACCTCCTCCTGTTCCTCCTTCTTTTCCTCCTCCTCTTCCTCCTCCTCCTCTTCCTCCTCCTCCGTCTGTTTTATACCGTTTGTATCTTCATATCCTGGACCAGGGTGAATGTCACAGAGACATTAACCATGGATGTACCATATTTCTAGCCAAGGGAATAGAGGAAGAGGACGAGCAGCTCTGCATGCGCAAGCCCTCTGCTACTAGGCCGCTCACATTGTCGTGCACTTCGAATAAGCTGATCTCACTAGCTCTCAACAAACCCTTGAGTACCATATGTCAATTTACGTGCATCAAGCAGCGGAGGTGGTTCGTGGGCGGGAGGAATATGAATGATAGTATTCTTGAGCTCGAGTATTGCGCGCTCCATTGGTATGTGCAACTACATTGTTTCAAAGGTCGGCCTCATTTTCTATGATGTACGCGCCGCGTTTCCCAGTCTGCTGCGCGAAGCTATGTTCGCAACGCTTGATGCCATGGGAGCGCCCACCTTCTTCATCAAAGCCTTGAAGTGTCTATATCGTGGGATATGGATATCTATATCGTATCGTGGTATGCATCGGGACATAGGTTATTGGTTCACCCGCGGCATCAAGCAAGGATGTCCTGCCAGCGGTTCTCTCTTTGCGCTGGCCGCGGACCCAGTGCTACGCAAGATCTGCCTCCTGCTGCCGCGTCCTGTCCATTCCCTGGGAGCCTTTGCAGACGATGTCGGCCTCAGCTCTGGAGACATTGTCAAAGCTTTTTTCCTTAGCATGAGCGTGTGGGCCCTGGCTGGCCCTGGATTTGGATTGTACGTCAACCTGGACAAAACTGTCGTGGTCCTTCTCGGTATGAACAAGGATGATTTCCTGGCCGCGCTGGGGATCCTCGGGATGGATGTGCCTGGTCTTAAGTTCGAGGCTCATGGGAAATACCTGGGGGTTCGTCTTGGTCCTGAGAGTATCGGTGCGTCCTGGGAACACGCCCTTCAGAAGTTCGTCCGCCGCATCCACCTCACCCATGGCCTCGCGTTAGGGCTCACCAAAGCTGTCGCTCAGTACAACATGATCGCGTTCTCGGTGCTCACTTTTTTGTGCCAGCTTGTGCCAATTACCCAGAGGTGCCTGAAGCTCGAGAGGTCGGGGCTCCAGAAGCTCACGATGGGTCCCAACAGTGCTATTACGGCCAAGATGCTGATGGGCCTCAAACAGCTCGGCTCCCCCCTTGAGGCACGGTCGCTTGCGCTCGCCAGCCGCGCGGCCATGTATCGTGCCGCGTTCTATTCGCCCGCCTTTATTGAGATTCGGAACGACCTGAGCACCTTCGAAGAAGACGAAGACTGCTGCCATGCATGGACTGAACACCCCTGGTGGAAAACAAGTATCGTGAAGGCTATGATTAACAACTATGACGTGATGACTGCTATCCCTGGCATGCCCCAAAATGAGTTCCCCCTCCAGAAAAAAAAAAGGCAGAGCTCGCTCTCCGCCAACACCTCCGCCAAGATGTGACCGCCTGTGTAATAGCCCGTGCTAGAAAATACGACCCGTACATGACTGCCTGGAATATCAAGTGTTTTATTCTGGCCTTCCTGAGGGCCGCTCAGAAAGTTCCGCCCTCGGTCCTGTCGTCTTGAAAAAAGACGGTGTGCAACGCATGGTGCACCTCTGGGCGCTTTTCGGTCGGCCACTCTAGCCTGTCCTATGTGTGGCCTCTCTGAGGCCGACCATCTGAAACACGTTCTCGAGTGCCCTAGGTTTGACTGTATTACTATCTTCCTGCCCCATCTCCCCGCCCAGTGTTGTCTCGCCGATGGTTTGGCTAGGTGTCAGGTCTATAAGTTCTCCCACTTCCTGATCCAGCCTTGACTTCGATTGTGATGTACATTGATGCATGTTTCATTACGTACCACACCATTCGTTCTCGGCCTGTTGCTGCTCGACCTGTCATTGCCATCGCACAGGCCCGATTTCAGCAGGTAGTGCGGAGGCGTGCCGACCTGTCCGTGCTGCTGGGCGCGCCTCCTGTCGCCCCTCCTGGACAGGCAGGACTGCGCTTTTAAGGTTTCGAATGCAGGCCATAGCATTCTTAGCCTTCCCCCGATGCGAGTTCCCTCCTCCTCCTCCTCCTCCTCCTCCTCCTCCTTCTCCTCCTCCTCCTCCTCCTCCTCCTCCCCCTCCTCCTCCTACCACCCGTTTGCCCCGCTCTCGCTCACCCTCGCCCCCCCCGCTCGGTCCCCTCGAAGGGAGTGACCTGGTTGGGGATTTGTCGACAACCGCCGCCTGGGGGATCGATCTTCGAGGACCTCGGCAGGCAGCGGACACGAGTGCACTCGGGCCCCGGGGTGGCCAAGTGCATCCGTATCCGCTGCCCTCCGAGGCTTCCCAAGATCCATCGCCCTGGCGGTGGGGATGGCCAAGTCCCCGCTTGGCAGGACAGTTCGTCGCAGTGCTTTTCCGTTATTCTCGCAAAGGGTCGGGAAACGGGGCGGAGGAATTCCCACAGCGTGGGCAATATGGCCTCGAAGCACGCGGAGGCGCGCCGCTCGCCCGCATCCGCGCGGCCGCCTGGCCGGGGGCGAAGGAGAAGGTCAGGTGTAGGCCGTTCTGAGGCGCATGAGCAGACGGAATAGGGCAGCGATGTCAGTTGCATGGTGGAGGGCGAGGTGTAACACGACGAGCATAGGAAACGGAAGAGGAAGAGGAAGAGGAGGAGGAGGAGGAGGAGGAGGAGGAGGAGGAAAAGGAGGAGGAGGAGGGGGGGGAGACGGGTGGGGGGGGGAAGGAGAAATCAGACAGAGGGTGAAAAAATGAGAGATGAGGAAGGCGAATAAGGAGCAACAGAGAGGACAAGGAGGGAAGAAGAGGGAGGACAGAGGAGGTGCAGGAGGAGGAGGAAAGAGGAGGTGTAGGAAAGAGGAGGTGTAGGAGGAGGAGGAGGAGGAGGAGGAGGAGGAGGAGGAGGAGGAGGAATTTGGGATACAATCGAAATGTGACGAGGAGGAGGAGGAGGAAACGGACGATGACGAGGCCTGCGGAGGAGCAAGGAAATGGAGGCGGAGGAGGAGCAGGACAGGAAATGGAGAAATGAGGAGGGAGGGACGATGAGAAGGACGAGGAGGATGAGCGTGAAGGGAGTTGATGCCGAATACCAAGGTTGCTCGGGATTGTTTTGTCGCTTGGGTGCTGGCCTGTTTCGCCGGCCTTCCCAGTGTTCGCCTTTGGTCTGTCAGATGTTGTTCCTGTTTCTGCCCTCCTGCTCTTCGGAGAGGCGGCACTACCATGTCAGACCTCCGATGCCCTCACTTTTCCGCTGCAGGGTCCCTGGACTTCGCGACCCGCTCCCCCAGGGCAGTTTCCTTGTCTCGGCTCGTTTCTTTGTCTCGGCTCGTTTCTAATTTCAGGGAAGCGCCAGCATGGAATCACGGCGCGTGGATTGGCGACGAGTCCCGTTTCTGTGCGGAATCGGCGCGCTCCGTCGCCTCATCAGGCAGTATCGGTCTCATGCTTCGGGGGGTCCCTGTCCCGATCTGTGGACCTGCCCGGGAACGGCGCCCACGAGGGTGGATGATGGGCCCCTTTTCCACCACCACCGCCATAAGTTGGAGGGGGAGAGGGTCCTCCTCGTCCTCCTCCTCCTTCCCCCCTCCAACTTATGATGGTGGTGGTGGAAAACAGGCCCATCACTGGAGGTGGAGGAAAAACCTCCGCCCTGCTTCTGTCCAGGACGCTGGACGCCCCGGTCGGGGTTCGGAGGAGGAAACGGTGCCGATGCCGCTATCCTTCCCCGCGTTTTCGCCTTTTTGGGGCCTCCTGGGGCGCCCCCGTCGCCATGGGGGACACGGGTCCTAAGGGAAACGGGTCCTGAGGTGTTTCGCCGTGTTCGGGCCCTCGGGGCCTTCCACGGGCCCCGGGACTGTCAGAAAACGATTGATGAAGGGGAAGGCCCCAGGGTTCAGGACCCGTGTCCCTCAGGACCCGCTTCCTTCCCCCGTGCTGACCTCGTCGCCACGGCTGGAACTGCCTCGGAGTTCTTGCCAGAAGGCACCCCAGGAGAGGTCCGGGGAGGAGCGGTACCCTGATGGTCCGCTACCGAAAATTTCCGGTAGCGCTCCGCAGAGATCGGTCGCTACCGAAATACCGAAATGTAGCGCCCAATACCGGTATCAGAGCGTTCTGAAATCCGCTATTTCAACGCCCTCAAACGAAGATCCGGTCGCTACCGAAATTCGGGGTGCGTCGAAATCGCTACCGAGAATTTCCGGTACCAGACCATCTGGGTATCGCTATCTTATGTTTTCCCCCCCCGGGGGGGGAGGGGCAGACTGCCACCCGGTCTGCCCCCGCCGTGGTGCTGAGCATGTCGTGTGCCGCGCCCTGCGAGGGGATATCTTCTGCTTGCTTTTCCCAGTGCAGACGAAGGGGGTCTTTTGTGAATCGTTCCTCCTGCCCCCCCCCCAGTTGCTCCATTCTCCTCCTCCTCCTCCTCCTCCTCCTCCTCCTCCTCCCTCCTCCTCCTCCTCCTCCTCCGCCCTCCTCTGGCACCACTGCTCCTCTCTCCATCCTCCTTCCTTATAGATCTTAGATCATTATTCCGTCTCACACCCCCAGACGTGTCCGTAGGGCGGGAAGGGCGTTTCGGTGGAGACAACCTTACCGTGTGTGATCCTGAAGTTCGATGTCCGCAACAGCCACAGGAATTGAGCGCAAGGTCGTTTTCGAAATGGGGCTCTTGTCCTAGCGCTACGCACGGATGGAGCATCATGTGGTTTTCAAAATAGGGCTCTCGCTGTCATGCCACGCGCAATTGATTTACAAATTTGCAACAACTCTAAGGAGTTAGGGTGGCGCCTTTTCACAATTGTCTTCTCGCCTTAGCGCCGCGCGCGTTCGTCTTACAAGCTTGCAACATTTACAAGGACGGACAAACGACGGTTCCTTGTCAAAATGGAGCTCTCGCTTGAGACCCCCTTTCAAACGACAAGAAGCGTCAGCGTATGTAGCAGGCGCACGGATGGCGGGCGATTCCGTTTCAACAGTGGGTTTCTTTTTTTTGGGTTTTCTTACGGATCTGTCCGTGACCACAAATGTAAATCTGTGTAACCAAACGCGCGGACGAGACGTTGTCTTCTTTCCAAGCGGAGAGTCCCTTGGACACGTTGCTGAACGGTATGGCTTTACCTGTTCGCATTACTGACGACGCGTTAGAAGGATGTAAGGCAGTTCCTTTTCAAAACGGAGCTCTCGCCTGAATGGCAGGTCCACAGGGTGCTGGTCTTTCAATGGGGGGTGCTTCTGGTGGTGAAGGGTGATACTCGTAGGAGCGGAGACCTGAGTCGGGAGCATGTACTGGCTTGATTTAGGGCGGATTTAGGTTGAGTCGGTTGAGTGTTTTTTTGGGTTTTTGATGCCGACGACGATTGTAATGATGGTGGTTATCAAATCGTAGTGCTGATGGTGGTGGCGATGGTGATGGTGATGATGGTGGTGCTCATCACCTCCAGAATCACCAGCATCACCATCACCATCATCACCATCACAACCGCCCTCACCATACCATCATCACCATCCCCATCATCATCATCATCATCATCATCATCGTCACCATCCATACCATCAGCATCGCCATCACCATCACCATCGTCACCATTGTGGTCCGTAGGACTTGGCTCAAAATAATAATGTCGTCGTCCGCTGGGGCGGTTTCCCCGAACCCTCTAGCCTCGTCGTCCCCTCCTTTTTCGAGGGCAGTTTCGCCGAACCATGCTTTCTCTTCGAGGGCAGCTACGCCGAGCCCTGCTTCTTCTTCAAGGGCAGCTTCGCCGAGCCCTGCTTCTTCTTCGAGGGCAGCAGCTTCGCCGAACCCGAGCCCGAGCCCTGCGGCCGCGTCGAGGGCAGCTTCGCCAAGCCGTGGCAGCTGCAACAGCTCGGACGCCGATGCTGCGGGCGCCGACGGCGCAGCGGGCTCCGAAGAGGACAGCGGCTCCGACAGCGGCTCCGAAGAGGACAGCGGCTCCAGCAGCGAGGCAGCCAAGAGCGAAGGCGAAGGCCGCCCCGAGCAAAGTAGTCGAGAAGTTGTCCATGACCCTGGAGGAGCACGTCGCCAGCCACGACTACCCAAAGCACGTCTCCACCTGCGGCGTTTGCGAATTTTGGAAGAACAAGGAGAACTGGAGCGCCTCGATGTCTGCGACGAATCCAGTAACACTGAAGAGTGAAACTTGGATCGGCTGCGTTGGTGGTAGATTTGCAGTCTGCTTCTTCTGCTCGGCGTTCAAGGGCGCTCGCTGCATTTCCACCATAGGCCAGGGATCCGCCAGTTTCCAACGCAAGGAAAACCTCGCGCGCCATGCACGGCGCGAGGAGCACCAGGCATCAGAAGCGGCGTGGAAAGAGCGGATTCGAGCGGAAGGTGCGCACCAGGGTCTCCCCGTGTCTGTTCTCCACAACGGCTGCATCAGCTGCAGCAGCTGCAACAGCCGTGGCGCCTGCGCCCGCCGTCGTCCGCAACGCCGGCCAGCGCCCTGGCTGCCGCGCAGTGGCCGCCACCCGTGCAATGTTGGGGACAACCAGTTCCTTCGGTAGTTTCGACGCGTGGCGGGATGCGTTCGTTGGGGCGACCGCCAAGTTTTGGAGTCTAGTCGGCAGCGCCGAAGGCCGGTGACCACCGTGGCTCAGCACGAGAAGATCATCACGCAGAGGATCCTCAGACATGGTGCTGGTTTTTGTTTGGCTGCGGACGGCCTCGACCGCACGTGCCAGGTCGAAATTGGCACCGTGCTGCGGTCGATCCCGAAGGCTTTGGACTTCCTCCCAAGCTACGGTCTCAACGCAGGCTGGCTGGAACAGCTGGGCCCCAGAGGGCCCTGGATCGTGGATCGGGCGATCAGGATGCGTGAGTTCCCGCGGGGCATGGACTGCGACGGCAAGGCTTCCATGCTGGAAGGGGTGCGTCCGTCGCGCGTGCCGGGCGGCAGGCGGGGAGGTGGGCGGGGACTTGCACAAGCATGTGCGACAGGAGATTCGGGCATGGTGCAGCGATGGGGCGGATCTAAGTGCACCCCTGGCTGCTACAATTATGTTCCCTGGGCTGGCGTTTCACGCGTGGGGCGAGTCTCACTCGTCCCAGAAGGTTCTGGCCAATTCGATGAAAGGAGACACCGAAATAACGACCGCGGACGAGCTGCTGGTAACGGGTAAGAAGCCGCCAAGTCTGGCCAAGTTCCTGACTACCTCCACCGTGTTCCGCAACGCACTCGGGGGGCAGCAGCTGGTGGAAGACGGCGCTGCGTTCGTCAAAAACTTCGGCTGGCCCCCCCAGCGTTTCAACAGTCGGGCGAGGTCCCATGCACGGGAAAGTCGGCGTTGGGAAGTTATTTTCGAGGCGCTCGGAGTGGAGTCCCAGGGGGGCGACAAAGATCGGCGCATTCTCGCCCGACATATTCTGGAAGGGCTCGGGGGCGAGAACAGTTCGCGCCTGCTCCTGGGGGGGTTGCTGGCCGACTTGAGCGCGGAGCACTACTCCTGGGTCGCCACC